CCATGTTGTTTAACTTAGAGGTCACTGTCATGTGTCTAGCAACTCTGTTTTCTGTGAAAAACAGCACTATTGTTTAAGAAGGAAGCTTTGTTTTATTTTTCCTAGGTTGACCCTTAATTTTTTTCAATCTTCTCCTACTGGCCCTCACGTTAATTATTAGCCAGACCTAGTCTGTCCACGTAACTTTCTTCTGGCTATCTCCTCCAGCGTGGGGAGTGGAGAGGGAGCACTAGAGCCTGCCGGTGATCTTACGTTGTGACAGCCAGTTATTTCACCTCTCTAATGACCCATTTGGGTATTTGTTTCTACCCTGTACTTGGAGAGTTTATTGTACTGTAAATGTCCATCTAGATGGGAATGTCTTTGAAAATTAGTATTGCCTAGAAATAATACATAGGCTTTCCTTCTCCCTCTCTCATTGGGGTCTGAATGGTCGTGCATTGTGGAAAGTGTTTGTCACCACTTAGAATTTGTAACCAATAGTGTTACTGTAAACAATAGTGTTAAGAGCCAGTGTCAGTCGGAGATTGGCGCGGACATAATGGCTGATGGCACAGTGAATGTAGCACTTGTCTAGGATTTTTTAATAGTGACTTTCAGTCTTCACCCCCTTGGGAGCTAGTATGAACTGAAGTTACCTTTTATTATTGTTCTGTGTGTGTTGTCCATGCCAATCACAGACCTGCAGGGGAGCAGACCAAGTTGGAATCATTAGACTGAGGAGTGAATGTCACACTTCTAATTTCATTCCCTTTTCAAGGGATTACCAGTGTCCATTTAATAAAATGAGATTAATGCTCTGCAGCAGTATTTGAAAGCTGTCTGTCAGTATAATCTTGACAGCTCAAAAGAAGCAGTGTTCTCAGCACTCTTAGAAACAGTGACATGTTTTATTGGCTGATTTTTTTTTTCTTAACCACAAGGGATGATACATGTTCGTGTGAGCACATGTGTGTCATGAAGGATAGAGGTGCAGAAAGTGGATCTGAAAGTCTCCATACTATGTAGAAATAACACCATGTAATTTAGTTTTGAGTTGCCAGATACCAGAAATAGCATAAGAAATTATGAGAGCAAAATAAAAAAAATGAAAGAAATACTTAGAAAGCAAACAATGACGTTTCTTTTCTTGACTGTTTTTAGAAAGCCTCGGATCAACTCTCAGCTGGTGGCACAACAGGTGGCGCAGCAGTACGCCACCCCGCCACCCCCCAAGAAGGAGAAAAAGGAGAAAGTGGAGAAGCAGGACAAAGAGAAGCCTGAGAAAGACAAGGAGATTAGTCCTAGCGTCACCAAGAAAAACACCAACAAGAAGACAAAGTAAGTCCCCGGGTAACTTGGTACAGTATAGTATTTTGCAGGTGAATCAGAAGTAACCTTTAAATGCTGCTTTTTGTATTCCCCTTCTTAGACCAAAGTCTGATATTCTGAAAGATCCTCCTAGCGAAGCAAACAGTATACAGTCTGCAAACGCTACAACAAAGACCAGTGAAACGAATCACACCTCAAGGTATTTGAAATGAGAACGAAACACTACATTTGCTGCTCTGATTTACTTAGTCATAATCAAGAACTCAGGGTGGTTGGTGCTTGTGGGTTTCTAGGCTAAGAAGTGGTAAGTGAAGAGCGAGGGTGGAACTGTTAACTTAAAACACAAGTGTGTGTGGCTATGTCTGTCTGAGCTACTTCTATATTGCTGTGGCCAAACCAGAAGAAGGAGAAGTTGCTAGTAATTTTGCAGTGGTCCAAAGCTTGCTAACTCATGGTAGTTTCTGTTA